CTTGAGTTGTCTCCTTTAGTGCTTATTTGAGTTAAGTACTTAAAGTCTTAAGACACTCAAGAATACAAGAAGGAACTAGCATTCCAAGTGCCTTAATCTTGATAGTGGATACTTGTAGAGAAGATCATGTTCTTTGATCTTTACATCTTCATCAAGACCCTAAAACCAAGTGGGTTCAAAAGCTTCAAAGGTTAACTTTAAAACATCATATGATTGTTTTAATATCATTCTAACCTCTATAAATGGATCCTAGATGGTTTGGTTTTGTTATAAACTCGAAAATAATATTGTTATTTTTAAAGCTTCCGTTGCCGATTTTATAAAAATCGAACTTATATTTTGTATCAAAACTGTGACATCCCCAAAATCACGGCCATAAAAGACCGGTTTCATTTATGCTTTTAAATAAAATCAGAGTAATCCTTTGATTAAAAGAGTTGCGGAATTTGTTCCCAAAACAAAATATGATAAGAATTTATCAAAGCATTTCATAAAGAAATGTAATTTTCATTATATAACAAAATCTCGGGATGTCATGTTCCGATACAGACCAAAAGCATAAACAATACAAAATAGACCTTGCAACAATTACATATAACAACAGGTCTATAATCCAAAAATATCTTGACAATGTCATCCAACTTATGCCCTTGCGCCACTACCTGTAATACAAAGAAACTGAGTGGGTCAAGCTTGGGAGCCTGGTGAGCATATAGGGTTTTCAACCCACAATAAATAATTATATTTAATTTCACCAACCAACAATAACCCGATTACCCATTCCCGTTATCCTCACTTTATGTCCCTAAAACAACAACTATTACAAGGGACCTAATCTAGGATTTTCATCGGGACGGACATTACTGCAAAGGGGGCTTCCTTAGCAATAGATGTCCTAAAGGCAACCATGAGGGGGATGGAGTACACCGGTGAACACATCGTTCACAACACCTACATCGTTCACAACACCTAATCTAGGATTTTCATCGGGAAGGACTTTACTTCTCGGGATCCTCGGGGCTTCAGGACTTGCTTCGGGGCTCGGGAATGATTCCGGGGCTTCGGGGTATCTCTTGCAAGAAAATCGATGCAAAACGGGAGAGAGAGAGAAGAGAAAATGAGCAAAGGAATCGGCGCCCCTTGAATTCTATTTATAGGGCCAACATTCTGTACTCACGTCGTGAGTTTTAAGTGTTCACGTCGTGAGCACAGTAGGTCACTGCGTTAGTCATTCGTCCACTTGCTCTGGAGGACGTCCAGTCTGTTCTCACGTCGTGAGCACTGTGCTCACCTCGTGAGTTCTGACACAGCCTCGAATAATGTGTTCCGAACTTCAGAAATTCATATATTTTGCATACGAGCTCCGTTTTCGACGTTCTTTATATCCACGCGTAGGTGAGATCATGATCTACAACTCTCGTTTAGACTCCGTTGGCTAACTTTGACTTTATTTTTATTATATTATCTTTAGTAGGCCGGGACAGGAAAACTCCGTTATAAATCCATAACTTCTTCATCCGACGTCCGTTTTCGTCTGTCTTTTTACCGTTGCACTACTATTGACGAGATCTCAGATTCTCGTTTAGATTGTTTCGGCTAGAAATCAATCGATCTCAAAATCGAACTTCGGGCTGCATACTGCTAAGCTGAAACTTAGAAAAATCATAACTTCCTCATACGAAGTCAGATTTAGACGTTCTTTTTATGCACTCTCTCGGTTTAACGTATTCTACGACTTTCGTTTAGATCACTAAGGATAAAAATCGCTCTATCGTAATTTCACATTTTACGTCATTCAGCGTCGTGCCAGTTCTGTCGCGAAATTTCGACAGGTCATAACTTCTTCGTTATAACTCGGATTTCAGCATTCTATATATATTCGAAAACCTCGTCACGACCACTACCACATCCTTCATAGATATCGGGTTTATCTAACATTTTATGTTTACGCTTATTTTTATTCTTAATTCAATTAAGCCACATAATTAAGCATAAAACACATAATACTCAAATAATACATCCTTATTATTTCAAAATGAGTTACAAAGGTTAACCTAGACTATTACATCAACATTAATGCCTAGCCCAGAAACACGGTTGTTACAAAAACCGTTCAGGTACTTATGAGTTTCCAAATGTGGAGATTCCAAGATATGAGCTTGAAAATGCTGACATTACAAAATGTGAGCCTGAAAATGCTGACCTTCCAAATGTTGAGAGTGAAAATGTTGGGAGTCCACATGTTCAGAATGATATGAGATTTCAACTTGACAACCTAAGGAAATCAAACTACACTACAGAAGAGATCATGGATTGTCTTGGAATCAATGAAGCAGAATTACAACACTTTGAAGGTCTTGGAATACCTGAATACTAGGTGGTTGATATGTCACATATGTGCTTTCTTATTGTTCAGTTATTGATGTTTAATCTGTCTAACTGTCTTGTGTTATGCTTGTTACAGGATGCTGGAATTGCTAGCCAAATAACAGTTGAAGGACTCCCTACAAATCAAGCACTTGGAGACGAGGAAAGGATGAATGGGGGAATGGATGAGTAGGGGATGGTTGATGAAGGGATGAATGAGGATGTCATGGATGAGCAGGGGATAATTGATGAAGGGATGAATATGGAAATGATGGATGATGAGGGAGGAATACCTGACACACAACAATTGAGAACTAGGAGACATGCAAAGAGGATAAAAGTGAATCAAGTGAAAAGGAGGAAGCCTTCAGAAAGGATAACATAGATACCATTGAAAAAGGTGGCAGTTGTCAAACATGGAATTGGGGGGGGGGGGGTTCATCTAATTCACTTAGTCTAAATTAGGCCATTAGGGTGTTTCTAACCCCTGCTTTTGTTAAGAACATGTATAAAACTTTGGCTTTGGGCAAATGATGATAGTCCCTTTTGTTGATAGGCCTCTAATATTAATAACCTTTTTTTGTTGATAGCCCATTTTATTTATAGCCATTTAAACTTTAGGCTTTGGGCCCCTTGATCATGTTTTTGGGCATATACACAACTAGCCATAAAACTTGTTTGGCTTTAGTTAATATTATTACACGTTCTATAATTTATAGTGTTTATGTTTGGTTATACTGATTCCATGTTCATATTACTCATGCTTACATTGCTTACTTATATTGATTCCAGTCATATACGATTCCAATTATGCATGATTGGGTGATTGGTCCATTATGTATTGATTCCTTTTGTTTGTTGACTCCATTACGTATTCAGTCCTTTATGTGTTAAGTCCATTATGTATTGATTCCAGTCATGAATGATTCCAATCATGCATGATTTAGGTATACATGATTCCAGTTATGCATGATTGAGTCCATTATGTATTGATTCCTTTTCTTTAATGACTTTATTGTGTACCGATTCAAGTCATCCATTGATTCCATTCATGATAATTGTCAAAACATTTATAACTCATACATAAATTACTTACTTCATTTATAATTTGATGAGACGCAAAATAATAAATTCATACTAACCTAACAATCCGTGGTCATAACCAAAACAAAGACAATAAAAATACATTAAAACAACTTTCTATCCTACAAATCCTTCAATACAACCAACACAAACACAAAAGAAACCACAAAGACATAAATCAATGATTTCCATCTTCTTATTTCCACTGGTTGTTGTGCCCCTAGCTGTTCCACCAATTCTCCAAATAGGTTCCTTGCATATTATTGTTGCCCAAACTCTCCAAGTGTTGCATAGTTCTCCCAATTGACATTGCTGTGAAATTCTAATAAAAGATTTGCATACCATTGGTTTGGTAGAGGAGGATCCACCCAACGAAAATACTTGCAATATTTGAGTTCATCGTAGTAATTTGGGCAACATATAAACCTTTTTTCCGGATTTAATGGAGTCCATCTTCCTACGGGATCACCATAATAACACCTGTTTTTGAGACGATTCATCCCAACTCGATTTGATCCTTGACTTCCTACAGAAGATGAAGAAGACATCCATTGCCCCCTGCTTCGATTGTTGCTTCCTGGTCTGATTTTAGGGCACAAATGAAGTTGATGAGTTTAATACCTTGAAATACAACCCACAATTAATGAGTCACCAACCACCTCAGCCAATCCTGGCCACATCATCAATTATTACTAGCTAAATGAGGGTCACCGTTGAAGAGGGTCGAAATGTTTAATTTATCCGGTTTCCTGGGTTTTTTGCACGAAAAAAAAAAAATTAGAGACCAAGGGGGTGTTTGGCTTGTCTTTTTGAGAGGCAAAAGACATTTTTGAAAAAGTTACAAAAAGTCAGGTTTTCCTAACTTTTTCAAAAAGTCAGTTTTCCTTCTATCTAAAATCCAAAAGTAACTTTTAAAATATTTTTACTAAACATCTTTTAGCCTTTATGTTTTCCAAAAAAGACTTTTGCCTCTCAAAAAGACAAACCAAACACCCCCTAAAATATAACTTCTCCTAAAATAAATAGATTTTTTTTTTTTAAGATTTCCCATTAGTACAACATCAAAATAAGTTTGCTTTGACAAAAAGCGCCCTTTGACAAATTGACTTATTTCTCTTTTACTCCTCTTCCTTCTTCACCGCAGCCGTATCTTCTTTCTCCACCACAGCCGTACGTCTTCGTCTTCTCCAGAAGCCTCCTTTGAATTCTTCAAGTAAATTACATTCTTGCTTAATTTATACCGTGGTTACTTGCTACTAGTTTCTTCATTGCTACTTAGGTGGTTAATATTTTCATTTGTTTCGAATTTGGTTGATAAGCCGATTAGAGTATTTAATATACAGACATCCTGGGATGCATTAAGCAAATAACGTAAACGAGTAAGTACAAAATCATCCTCTTATCTACATTCATACCCTACTTCAAAGTTCAACCTTCTCCTCTCGAAGAACAAAAAACCCGTGTATTGAATCATTTACCAAGTAATGTTACGAGTGATACATATAAAGTTGCAAGAAATCCATCTGACATAACATATATTTGTAGATGCAATGGTGGAGATGGGATCTTTTCCGCTATGCAATAAAGCTGTCACCTTATGCTCCTACTATCATCAATCACAACCATCAATAATCCAAAAGAGTTATCACCGTAACTGTCAAAAGAGACCCTTTAATTCCTCGCTTCAATGGCAGATTCATACAACCATCAAATACCCACATCGTTTCTTTTCAGATACCAACAACCAATTCAGGGTTAACTCTTTCAGAGACAGTAATGGAAATCAAACCACCATGTCTGTTTCTTCCGCTTACCAGGTGCTCGACATAATGCCTGATTGCACTTTGTCTGACCTCAAAGCAGCTTTTCGTGCCAAAGTATGTTTCTATTATTTTTATTAATTATTCTATGGCTGTATTCCCATTGTTCAATACGTTCAAGATACATTTGCAAATATATTTGGTCCCAGATAAGATTTGTGTAGAGTGCTGTAGTGTCATAGAATTTATAAACGCAAAGAAATGTTAATTATTGTGAACACATGGGATATAATTAGGGGAGAACGCTAATGAAAATTTCCTATTTAATGGTCATTTTTTGTTCTTATTTTATTTTTTATAGGTGAAGCAATTCCATCCTGATGTTATAAAGAGTGATGATGGTAATTCAGATACAATGATTCGCCGTGTCATTCAAGCCTATGAGGTAGATGATTTTCCTCAGATTTAAGTTAGTAATTGTTATCTAGAAACTTCCTATGATGCATAAGTTTCTTAATAACTTCCTAAGGTTATAAAGATCTAAACATGTGATGGTTGAGGGATATTCATCAAAATCTTGAATATTATCTTTTCCAGGTGTTATCCAATTTAAGCAAATCAGAGATCATTGAAAGGCATGTATCTTTTTACATTTCCTTTTTTCATATTTTCCTATATTCTAAATGTGGTATTTGATATGAAATTGTAGTGAATGTCTAGACCCTTTTGATGCTCCTGAATGTGAGGCATTTGACATCTTTGTTAATGAAGTTCTATGTGCTGGAAAAGGTAAGAGTCTCTTCATTCTTTTAGTTTTATTTTTTTCTACTTAATCTTTTAGAAGGAATGAAATCTGTCTATAAGAAATTTAAATCTGAATAACTAAATCTGTCATGCTTTTGGTTGGCAAGAATTGGAATGGAATTCAATTCCATTCTTTTATTGTTTTCTATTGGTTTGGAAATCTGTCAAAGCAATTGACATGGAAATCATGTTAAATGACCAAAATAGCCTTGATTGATTTTTTGTGCAGGGTGTCCTTATTCATGTGTAAAGACAGCACCTCATGCATTCACATTCAGTTCTTCAACAGGAACTGCATATGCAACGTCTCAAGGTTTGTATCTAAAATTTATGAAACAAGGTTTCACTTTTTTCCCTAATTTATGCAACAAAGTTGAACTTTTTTCCTAATTTATGCAAAAAAATGGTTTCTTTTTCCTAAATTATGTAACAAAGGTTACTGGTGAAAGACTGAAACATTGCATGTTTTGGTCTTAAAATGAAATGTGGTTTTATCTCTTGAAACAAAAAACCCACCTTGTTGCATAAATTTAAATAAAATATTGAAACATTGTTGCATAGATTCACATTCAATCTTATATTAGCATAGTTGAAAAACAGATCTAATAATCGCTGGGATTTTACAAAATACTCTTCTAAACATGTACATTATTTAGATCATATCTTTGTAAATTTTAATTATAATTAGGTCATGGTGAGGACTATAAGGTACAGCTGGCAGTTGGACAGTGCCCTAGAAACTGCATACATTATGTAACACCTTCTCAAAGGATTATTCTCCAGGAGTTACTTGGCAGGTATACTTTATAAAACAAAAAATTAAAAATATAAATCAATTAGCTTTCATTTGTTTTTACTTGGTGACAAAAAAGTGGTTGAATCGGTGATGATCTTTGTCTGGATAAATTGTTGTATACATAAAAGTCTGTTTTGTTTTGAACTTTTTATACTTAATAAATTATCTGGATGAGAATAATTGACCATTTTATCTCTACATTCCAAAAAAACGAATTTGATAATATTTACTATGTGGTTATTTGTTGTTGTAGCATCTTGAATGTGCCTTTTGATTGCTCTGCTGAGGCGGACTTGCTTTATACGCTCATTGTAAAAGCCAAGTTTGAAAATAATCGGTACAAGAAGCCAAAAAAGCAACCCAATGTATCAACTAAACATGTTGATTTGGTATTAATCAAACATTAGTTGTTAAGTCTTGTTGCTTTTGTGTACATCTTGTATATAGCATAAAAGGAGAAAACAAGGGTATGTATAGTATATTTATTCAATTATGGTGTATATTTTTCTCACATTCGATATGCATGTGAACATGTATTTATATGCTTTGTGTTGTCTTTCTATCGGATGATTTGTTTGTTTTTGGGTTCCTACTGACTTGGTATCTCTTATTTGCAAGTGTGCAACCATAAATAAGTAGGATCGATAGCTACTAATGGACACTAGGATTCAGGTCAATAGTGGATCATGTGATAGCAGCTGATGGCATTAGTAGTTGTGAATAAAACGCCCGAAATGACAAAGTTTATTAATGGTTGGTAAAGCTAGGTCAAAATGTAATGCCCCAACCAATCCAAACCTTCAAATGTTTTGATGATACATAATAACACCTCCAAACAAAGGAAAGTACTGGGACTCAACAATAATTAGTAAAACAATAAAGATGAGGGAAAAACACACTAGTTCATGTAGAATAACCAAATCAGGAAAAACAATACAGAGGAAACCATCGAGAGATCCACTATTGATAAAATGTTTACAATGCAAAGAAATACCATAAAGTACAAGTATTTGGGCTACAATCAGGGTAATATGAGAGAACGGAAAAAGGCTTTTAGGGTATTTGTATCTATTCAAACTAACTAAAGGAAATCATTTTAACCAAAAGTCCAAAGTAGTTAATTAAAAAAAAAATGATATGTTTAGACGTGTTTAGACTTTAGATGTGTCTAGACGGGCTCATATGAGATATAGTCGTTATAGTTGGTAAATCATTTTGAAATAAAGGTTAATATAATAAAATATCGTATATATTGAGTTTTTTTTTTCTTGAAAAAATCTTGCATTTTTTTCATTTTTTATTCCAAAAAAACCTACTACTTTTTTTTTTTCCCGAAAATTGTCACATTAGATAATTTTTTCCGGAAAAAACAACCTAAAATGCCATATTAAAAATAAAAAAAAATAAAAAATATTCTAAAAGAAACGTTAGTTTTAATCCCAAAATCACGATATATAATGATTTTTTCATATATTAACCCAAAAAATTATTATGATTTTTGAATGAGTAAATCATATGAATCATCTTTACCCGTTTCAGAAAAAAAAACATTGAAACAAAGTTATGGATAATAAAAGCACCTCTAGATGGAACATTTAAAATGTAGCTAATTATTCACATTTAAAGAAAAAAATTCCGCTACGCACATTCTACAACACCCAATACGTGTCACCTCCATGCTTGAATGCTTCGGACCCACACCACAATTTAATATCCCGTTTAAAGCACTGCCAAAAATTTCATTTCAATGTTACATAAACAATACCTGAGGGCTGAGGCAGACCCCCATTTTTACACATTAAGTTATAATCAGATCAATATTGTCGAGTTGCAACTTCATATACGGAAGTCAAAATATCGTTCATATTTATATTCATCTGTAAATTGTTTGTAGTACTTGTATTCTGAGGCAGACTAACAAATTTCTCGAAAAAAATAATTTTTTTATAAGGATAAAATATTTTTTGAAGGGTCAAAAAATATTATTTTCAACAGGTCAAAAAATATTATTTTTGAATTAATTTTTTTAATTATGGCCTCACCCCAGTATAGGTCTTTCCCTGTTTGTATCATTAGTCGTATTTTTAATGAAAATGGATTTTGAGGGAAAAAAAACATTAACAGTTTTGAAGATGACAATATCTATTCAAGACACTGTTTTATCTGTCATGATTCAATATTATTTGGTATTCACTCAAAATTTAATGATATAATTTTGAGGGTGAAAAATTAGGATTTAATGGGTCAAAAAATGGCACCAAGTATATTCAAAAATTTATTACACTTTAAACCATTTAATCCCTATAATTAATTACAAAAATAAGGGATATTAATATTTTAATGAGCAGGATTTTATTAGCATGTTAATATAATAATAAATTATAAATAATTATTTACGAAATGAAACGGAAAAAGTCAATGGTTGATTAAAATGATAATAATATTTTATTGGAAGAAAGAGAGAGAAAGAAGTAGCCGTTTAACTCTCTTTGTGTGCGTTTTCTACTTTACACAATCTGACCGTTGGGGGTGTTCACTATACTTCATGTAACATACTCTTTCTTCTTGTTGTCGCACGAACCCCACACACACAACACACACACACACACAATGGTCGCAAGATCCCCACCGAAGCTGAGGAAGAAGATTGTGGCTCCACTTGATCCGATTCAACTCAGAGACACACTCGACAAGGTACCCATTTCACCTTCTTCTAAATCTCTGTTCTTTTTCATTTTTGGATTTTGGTGTTTCAATGACGAAAACTGGGATTTTGAAGGTGGAGAAATGTATGGATAGACTGCAAGAGCTTCAGTACATCACCGGTGGGACGAAGTTGATCTCCGGTGTGAATCTCAGCCCTCGTAGTTCCAGAGGCTACTTAAGAACAAGCCTCAGGTGTAAACAGGAATCACTCAGGTAAATTTTGTTGGAAATTCTCTGTAAATCAATCAGATGGGTATTTTATAATTTGATGGTTTAATTATGCTAATGTTTTCTCTCTCCAATCTTTAGAATCAGAAATGCAAATGGTCAAAAATCGTCACCCGGAAGATTACCCACACAAAATAGGTGAGAATTTTGGGTGATATCTGATGTTTGTATTTTGTGTTTCAATGGCGGATTTTTGAATTTTGGATTTTTGGTTTTGAATTGATGAAGGGGAATGGAAGAGGATGTCACTACCAGCGATGATTTTGGGCGAAACGGTGGGGGAGATACTCCAAGCAAGTCAGTTTGCTAGAGAAATCGTGACGGCTGTTGAAACGAAAGCCAAAAAGATCACCACCGGCGCCGGCGGCGATCCGAAAACTCCGGTGACTCATTCCAGACGGACTTCGAGGTTAAACCCAGAAACCACCGAGCTCCGGTCACGGAGAAAGAGAGAGAAACGGATAATCCGATCAGATCTACATTCTCCTTTACTTGAAAGAGCAAAATCACGGATTAATTTCAAAGTCTCCGGTTCACCACCCAAAAAAGAAATTGAGACTGAAAAGGGTCGGTTTCCGGCGAATAGGGTGTCTCCGAAGAACAAACCTTGGGCTAGAAAAACCGTGATCTTCCCGAACCCCCTTTTCCATTCAACACCTGCTTCACAAAACCAACAATTTTGCAGAACAAGGTCGCCGGTGATTACAAGAACCCGTCAGACCACCCCTCACAAGTTTCTAATCAAGACGCCGCCGCCTCCTGCCGCCGTGGCTAAGTTCAAGTAAAAATTCGCAGTCCACCACTTTCTGTATCTCCGACCAGACCCAAAACGGCCAGCGCGAAGAAGAAGGCGATGTCACCGCCTAAGAACGTGTCCACGTCAGCAAAGCTACGGAGGTCATTTTCGCCGTCGAGATTGGCTACTAGATTGGCTTCGCCATTGAAGATTAGGAACCCAACGATTTGCGTATCTCCGACAAGATCTGGGGTGGCTTCCGTGAAGAAGAAGTCGATCTCACCGCCCAGGACGGTCACCGGAAAGAAGAAGTTGACGTCACCGCCAAGGACGGCCTCCGTGAAGAAGTCGATTTCACCGCCTAAGAAAGTGTCGACGGCGGCAAAGCTGCGGAGGTCGTTCTCACCGTCGAGATTGGCGAGTAGATTGGTTTCACCATTGAAGAGTAGGAAATCATCTGTACAGAAGAGCGTGGATAGTAGCGAGATGATGATGAACATGATGAGTGGATTGAAACAGAGGCCACTGTCAACAACTACACCGATGCATTTGTCAGCTCGGAGAATTTAAGATTTCATTCTTTTATATGATATTTCCTTAATGTCAATATGATTTCTGTTTGGTGTTCACATTTTTATAATCATAAAGTAACAATAATCTGCAATTTGTTCCCATAATTTCTTGACTCTTTATTGATTCAGGAATCAGTCACAAAAGTACAATCTGAAATATCAAGAACACTCAAGTTTTTAAGTCTCCATATCGATTCAGGCAATTTCTTCAATTTCATACAAGAACGAAGACCAAACATTTCCAAATTAATCAAATCCCCAAATTCTTCAGAAAAGCCACGCATCTCATTACAGTTTGTGATGCTAATCTTCTTGAGATGGACACTGTTACATAATGTCCCCGGGAATTTGACCAAGTCTTGGCAGTAATCGATCTCGAGTTCAACTAACTGTGGCCAGATATTTGGGGTGTTGGTAATGAGGTTCTTGAAAGGGTCGCCAATGTTGCACATTATGAAGGATACTTTTTGCAAGTTTATGAGTGATAAAATGGATGGACTTATTACTACACGTTCGAGCCTAATTCTTGTTAGATTGTAAGAAGCGCCAAGGAAATCAAAATTGCTGAATTCTGTAGGGTATAATCTGTTGTTTGTGATGTTTAGAATCTTTAATTTTGGATTTGCTGCTAAGAAATGGGGTAAAGTGTATGTTTTTGACATTAAGTTTAAGATTAGAACTTCGAGGTCTGGGACTTTCATGTCACACCATCGCGAGGAGAATGATTCTCCTACAGTCAAGATTGTAAAAGATTAATAAAAACATAATATAATAACACATTCATTCATACTAACTGCCACTTGTCTAGAACAAATAAGAGTTTTTACTTCTCGTAATCTAGATTAATATTGTTTTTGGCAGGATTACAAGCAAAAAATAGCAATGTACTTTTATTTATTTGTTATTATAACATCCTAGTATCCAATGTCATCTACTCATCCTAATACGAAGCATTTTTTGCCTTTAAATTAATTGGGTAGATTTTTTAAAGTATAATGTGCAAATCTAAAGGACAATGTTACGTATGTGTAGACTTTCAAAGAAATACAAAGGGAAGAGGTTCCATTAAAGGTATGAATGTAATCGCAAAAGGGCTATTCTTATCAACCGTTAAGGTGCCCCACCATGCCTTAAGAACATCATGTCAGATTTAATTGTGGCTCACTAGGTGGCTAAGAGGTCAGTGCCAAGGAGCCCACGCAACATTGGGACTAAAAATCCCACCGTAGAAATTAGAATTAACTATGCTACACGCCTACGCCCAAGGGCATAAAGGTAAAAGAATCAAAACCTGTGGAAATGGACAATATGCGGGCTTGCATAGCTTCTTGGATTTTTACAATTGATGCAGGCAAATCTTCTCCTCGTGCATCAATAAACAATCTACTCCTTTGTGCTAAAGGTAGTTTGTTATTCAAGTGAATAGCAAGTTCCTTCATCAAATCATGTTGTGTCACGAATTGCTGGTCACAAAAGGTAACCGTTGCTCCTAAATCATTCCCAAAACTAAACAATTCAAGGATCAGTCTACAACAATATATATATATATATATATAAATGAAATTGGAGTTCCTCCAATTTAATAACAACTGTTGGACACCCTTGAATTCACTTGAGTAATTTTTAGTAACTGAGCAAGGTTTTGTTTCTCTTTTAGTTGATGGACTTGACTAGGACAAGTCTTAATAAGATAAGCCTAGGTTTTTAGAAAATTTATGCATATGCATTTTTCTTTTTGACTTAATGCAAAAAGAACGACTTGTAGAAGAAATGAGTAAAATGAGGTGTTCCCAAAGTCATGACTTACAAATTTGCTATATATGGATTTTTTTTTTTAAAACTTAAATGCAAAAAGAACAAGTTACAAGAGAAAGTGAGGGAACCCATTAAGTCCCAACTATTTTATAAATTTGATATATGAGTTTTTATTTTTGACTTGATATAGAAAGAACGAATTATTAGAGAAAGCCAGGCAAAGCCCTAACTTTTCACATATTTGCTATATATGAGTTTTTCATTTTGACTTGATGCAGCAAAGAGAGACTTAATAGAGAAAGTGAGGAAAATGTGGTACCAACCATTTATCCAAAGAACACTGTATTTAGACAGTCTGATGGGAAAAAAAGAAAAAGAAAAAGAAAAAGAAAAGCAACAAGGGCGTAAGTCAAATACCCTTTGGCCATAAGATCGACAAGATTTCTATAGGAAAGCTCAAGGATGGTGTCCATGGTATCAACACCATCGTCATCATGGTTGTACAAATGCACCCACATATTCAAGAGGGTACTAACGGGGATCCTTTGATCTTCTGGGAATAGCCCCAAATCCAAGAAACATTCTTTAAATTCATCATCCAAATCGTCAAAGCTTCTTTCTAGGCCTATGAGTACATCCTTATGTAAATCTAGAACCAACCTACCTTGAGACAGCTTTCCTAGCATAGATTTCCAAGCTAAATCATTCTTCCCATTTAAGGATCGGCCAACCACCAAAAGGGTGAGGGGATGTTTCTTACACCAATGTACCATTTACATACAAGGGAATGGATACAAACAAGTTAGAAGCAAAAGGAAGAGCAACAGAAGAAAGAAAAATCACTTCTTTATGCATCCAAAAATATAACATACATTCTTTGATTATATAATTAGTATAGACTATAGAATGAGGATCTCACAATGCATGGAAAAAGAAGAATATCATGATATAGTTAGTTACCTGATTCACAAGATGATCACTAATAGTTGGACTAGGTCTACTCCCTCCTTTAGTGAATGCTGAATCGCAAAAGAGAGTTTTGGCATCTTCCTCATTCAAAGGCTCAAATCTGAAGGTCTTGTATTTCGGAAAAGCAGTCCTAGATGTGACCAGAATTTTGTGTCCTCTGATCTTGGATGGAAAGAGTTCTTCAATAAACGAAGCAGACCAAACATCATCTAATACTAGAAGCATAGGATCTGATGCTTTCTTATTCAAAAAGTTGTCCAACTTGATCTTTGCGTCTTCCTTGCCTTGAAACTGAAGCTGCGGGGTGGAGGGATTTGGATTAAACAGATCACTGACAATCACCATCAAGTCGGGTGTTTCTGAAACTGTCACATAGAAGATATTCTCCCCAAAATTTTCTGTTCAAAAGTAAGAGATTTTAGCATCAAGTCAACCAAGAAGAACTACCTAATACTTCGATTCTAAAGATTGAAGGATCACCTCGAATTTCAGCATCATGGCATAGCATTTTCACCAAAGTAGTCTTCCCACATCCACCTGGAGCCTCGACAACCAGCACCAAACGATCATCAACACCAATATCAGAAACAACCTCGGCCTTCAGCTTCTCCAGTGGCTCGTCAAATGCCACGATTCCACTTTGAAGTCCGGGAACTTGCCAACCATATTTTTTTCGTTCTACACTTTCAGATCCACTATGACTACCAACCAATCTTGTTCTATGTTTCGAATCTCTTGAATCCACATACATACGATCCAGTTTTGATTTGATGTCGTTCACCACTGCAAGAGTCTGCATAATGTCCCGAATCTGAATTGCTTGAACTCCAACTTGAAAGAAGTTTACCAACTTAATCTTGAAATTTTTTAGCTCCCGTGAGTAAAGGAACATCTTGGTCGGATCCCTCTTTACTTTCGAACATCTGGTGATAAGTTCTTCTGCCTTTTGGACTTCATCTATGAACATCTTACACTCTAGCTCTGAATGATCTAGTTCCCGTTTCAGTTTCACCGTCTCTTCGATGATCGGTGTTATTCTCTGTAAGGTGGCTCTGAGTTCCTCTAGTTGGGGCTTGAATTCTGCTGTGGTTTCTGCTACATATATTACAGTTTTAAAAAGGCTGAAGATGGATTCGGAAAGGAATAGACAGGAAGATTAATGAGATGGAGTTGATGATACGAAGGTCTTGGTCTTTTGGAGGAAAAAACAGAGTTGGATAAATGGAACTAGTCTTCTAATATTAAAAAAAAAAAAAAACAACCGGCGGTTTTACAAATTTGAGTAAATTACAAGAATGGTCCTTGTACTGTCTTAACATTGAATGTTCGGTCCAACTTTTGAAATATTTACATAATTGTCCCTAAATTCGATCTTGAAGCAGGGCCATTTCTTGTTTCTTAATCCGAAATCTCGATGTAAAAGAATAGACAGGAAGATTAATGAGATGGAGTTGATGATACGAAGGTCTTGGTCTTTTGGAGGAAAAAACAGAGCTGGATAAATGGAACTAGTCTTCTGAATATTAAAAAAAAAAAAAACAACCGGCGGTTTTACAAATTTGAGTAAATTACAAGAATGGTCCTTGTACTGTCTTAACATTGAATGTTCGGTCCAACTTTTGAAATATTTACATAATTGTCCCTAAATTCGATTTTTATTTCATCATTGGACCCCGGTCACCGACCCACCCTAGTTCTACCACATGTTGATGTAGGGAAATATATTGCAGTAATGCAAGAAAGAACAACAAAAACATAAACCGTTGATGCTTGTATTGAACATAATGTCCTTAAAACAAATATGCCTCCCAACTAGATGTTTGTTTTCCAAAATGCAACAACTACAACAGTTATTCAAGACAACCAAATCATTATAGGCTAGCAAGTTGTCCTAACTTCAACAAGAAAATACAATAGTAAGAGTATAGGATATGATTGAATCTGATTTTCATTGAGTCTAAATGGTTGTAAAAAAGTTGTATTTATACAACAAAACCATACCCAAACCTTAATGATTCCATACAAAACTTGAAGTTAAACATGGAAATACCCGAGCTCGGGGATCGAAGAAAGAGAGAAACAAATTATCCGATCAAATCCACATTCTCCTTGCAAAATCAAGGATTAATTTCAAAGTCTCTGATTCTCCACCCAAAAAAGAAATCAAGACAGAAAAGGGTCGGTTTCCGGCGAACAGGGTGTCACAGAAGACTAGACCGACTGGAAAAGTTGTGATATTCCCAAACCCACTTTTCCATTCAAAACTTGCTTCATAAAACCTACGTTTTTGCAAAACAAGGTCGTCGGTGATTTCAAGAACCTGTCAGCATCCCTCACAAGTTTTTAATCAAGATATCACCGTCTCTTGTTGGCGTGGCTAAGTTTCAAGTAAAGATTCAGATTCCACCGCTTTCTATATCTCCGACCAAATCCAAGACGACCAACGTAGAGAAGAATGTGGCATCACCGCCTAAGAGTGTGTCTACGTCAACAAATCTACGAATCTATGAAGGTCATTTTATCTGTCGAGATTGACGACTAGATTGGCTTCGTCGTTGAAGATTAGTAACCCAATCTTTTGCATATCTCAAACCAGCGGCGACTATCATGAAAAAGAAATCGGTCTCACCGCCTAGGATGGTCATCGTACATAAAAAGTTGACGTCCCACTAAGGACGACCATCGTAAAGGAGTCAATTTCACCGCCTAAGAAAGTGTCGACGACTGCAAAATAATGGAGGTCTTTTTCACCATCGAGATTGGCGAGTAGATTGGTTTCGTCATTAAAGAGTGGGAAATCAACTATATATAAGTGCATGGATGATGATGAACATGATGAGTGGACCGAAAGTCAACAAATACACCAGTATTATGTGATAAGATAGACGATGTGCATTTGAAAAGTGTTACCCACCGTACTTCAATTGCATATAAAGATGATTAAAAATATTTTTCAACTTTGTATTATTTTATTTATTTTTATGATGAACTTGAATATATATATATATATATATATATATATATATATATATATATAATGCTATTTTCAATTATTATTGTTCATAATTAATTAAAAAACACTTTTAAAAAAACTTATTATTATAAAAAATAATTTATAAAAAACTGTGAGTTGATATGATATTTGAACTAGTAAAAAAGCTCATGCTTTCACGTGGGTTTGTACATATTTGTTAAAAGGGTTCAAAGTAACAAAGTAGGGAGATTAAACTTAAACATCACACATTAAGCGTTTGGTATGATGGTAAAGGAGAATGAATGGAATGGTTCGATCCATTACCATTACCTTTTCCATTCCATCTAACAAACATACCCTAAAAGGTAAACTGCAAAAATCCCAGTTATAGTGTAATATCCGAAAAATTTCAGACAAAAAATTCATTTTAATTAATTCCAAAACATCCCGTAATTATGTCAAAACAACCAAAAGTGTATCATAGTGGATAATATCAGAGTACAAATCCCAAAATCACTTAATGCAGAAAACATAGGCGAATGCGGTGCAATCAAGTCGGACCCTTCCCTTTTGAGCTGGAAGTACCTGAAACATAATTGAAAACTGTAAGCACAAAACTTAGTGAGCTTCCCCAAAAATACCACATATCATACATGCATAACAGTCAAACATAACTGTGTCTATTTCACACCCTTCGGTATCTTTCAACAGGTACTGGGTCTATTTGACCCCCTTCGGTATCTTTCAATCGGTACTGGGTCTATTTCACCCTGTGACAGCCGTCAATTTCCGGTCTAGTCAAAGTCAAATAAAGTCAACAAGTCAAACCGGTCAACTCAATTAACCCTTGTATATTAGGGATTACATTATGTATACTATTGTACAACACCCTATCTTAATGCAAAGAATCACTTTGAGTCTTCACGTGTTCAGAAAATCTAAACCCTAATCAGGGTAAGTGATGGAACTACTTGATAAAACATTATTACATACCTTCTGGGGACGTATAACACTCATAACGAGGCTTAATGGGGTTTACAAACCTTGCATTTCGAAGCTAAACACTCGCAAAGGTCACAAACAAAGTCTCTCTCAATCGCTCTCGCTCTATCTCTCTCTCTCTCTCCCAAATCTCTCCCATATCTCTCTCAAATCTTTCCCAAATCTCTCTCATAACCTCTCTCAACTTTTATAATCACTCGGGGGCATCCGACCCTTAATTTAGTCAAAAACCGAGCAAAACGGGATGTTTATGTGAAAATCAACCCTTTAGGACCGAAGCCGAGGGTTCCCTTAGAAAACGAACCCTAAGAAGCGAAGAGAATTAGAGCAGAGCCGAAGTGTCTAAGGAACCGAACTTCAGAAGACTGAAACGCCGAGGACCGAAAGGCTGAGGATCGAAAGCACCCGAGACCAAACCTCCTTCAGGACCGAACTAACCCTTCGGTTCGGATCAAGCCTTCGGACCGAAGCTCTGCCTACATTCGCCTGCAACCTTCACCTTCGCTTCCCTTCCATTCTCGCCTGCGATGCTGCTCGGACCGAACCCTCCCTCTCGGTTCTTAGAGACCGAACCTCGCAGGTTCGCCTCTTGATCCCGGTTTTCGAGTAGTTTCGCGTTTTAAGCCCGTTTTTCATGATTTTAACGTGGGATATTCACCCAAACTCATATTTTGACATATAAGACCCTATATATTCATAATTTAATCACATTTTGAGGGAAATCTTTGTCTAAGAATGATATCTATGATGGATTTTATGCATAAGAACAACCCTATGTGCTCATACAAACCCTAATGCTTGGATCTAGGTTTCTCTATTGTACATGCTTTGAATCCAAGACTTACAACCCTAGATCTATCATATATAATTCGAAATTAACATCATGAAAACAGATCTAAGTGTTTACCTCTATCAAATAGCTTGAAATCCTTGTAGTCTTCTTGATCTTGAGCTTAGAGTCACAACTATAACTCCTCTAATGGTTCACAAACCCCACAAGCAAGAAGGCAATATGAGAGAGGTTGAGAGATGCTAAAATCGGCCCTGGGGTTCTCTTGGAATCAGGTGTAGCCGATTTTCATAGCCTAGGGGTCTTATTTATACTTGCAGGCTGCTAGGGTTTCAGTCTAAACCCTAATGGACAGCTTAACCACCAAGCAACCCAAGGAACCTTCTGGAATAAGGCCTTGGACGAAAATATGATGGATCCCCATCATAATTTCGTTCCCCCTTAAGTCCATAAGGTTTCCTTAGCCCAAAACTCAACTATCATACATTTGACAGTTTATACCCCTTTATTTAATTAATCTCTTTTAGTCACCAAATTAATTCCTAATTAATTTATGACCAATACTAATTAAATAAATATGATTTCTCCTTTAATATATTATTCTTATAATATATTAATAAACCATAATATTCTCTCTTTCTCCTTAAATTACCTTGTCAAGTTGCTTTGGTGAAGGCAACCCAAAAGGACCATGCACAACCGGGTCAAGTACATACCAAATATAGTTACGGGCTTAGACACTATTCCAACAGTCTCCCACTTGGATAAGTCTAGTAACTATATATCACATATGACTTCAGAATCCGATTAGCAATCGTAGCTCTTATACTTTGCTGTCAACTCTGATCAGCAACTTGTCCTTCAGATAAGGGATCGTATAATCCTCTGTTCTAGATATCATGCTGACAATACTTATTGTCCAACACTTGTTTCTTGATCTCCGATTTGTTCGACATAGAATTTAGTTGAACACATCAACTTCATTCTGGCCGGGCCCGACACATAAGTCAAACCAAATCATCAAGTGGCCAAGATATCACCTTTATTCTCATAGAATAAAAGGAACAGATCAACTTCGACTCATATGCATCTATTATTTACTAATTGAATCATGCACAACAATGTGTTTTATAACATTAAGTTACTGATGCGTTTACACATCATCAATGCATAACCATCCAGCAAACAACATCCATATCTCTAAGTTTTAAGACTATATGATATTATCGCTTTGCGATCACTTTAGGTACAACACCACGAAGTGATACCAGCAAACGCGGGTTTATTCCAATGCTCAAATCAAATTCATAAGCACTCATGAACTTTGCAGCAAACCTTTGCAATGCCCAAAACCTTTTAGACATTTTACAAACAATTCATGACAATCTTCATTCATACATACTTCCAAAATATGAACGACTGTGGACCGTTTGAATAATCTTATTATTCAGGAAGTCAAAACATGCAAAATAGAAACAATAGATAAATAGCCAACACAAGATAGTAGCTTTACTCATAAATAACACAACTTTATTTATTCATCAAAATGTCAAGTACAAAATATCTATTACACGTTTCTTATCTATCTAATCCAAACTTATATCATCCTTCAGCCCAATGCTCCTAGCGTGCTGCAAATGTTTGACCCTACTCAGTCCCTTCGTAAGGGGATCTGCTGGGTTTTCTTCTGACGATACCCTCTTCACAACGAGGAGTCCCTCTTCTACCCGATGTCTGATAAAATGGTATTTTCTGTCGATATGTCGAGATCTACCATGATCTCTTGGTTCCTTGGTTAAGACAATCGCTCCTTCATTATCACAGAAAATTTCCATCGGCTCCTTTATGGATGGCACAACTCCAAGGTCTCCAATGAAGTTCTTCAACCATATAGCCTCCTTCGACGCTTCACTTGCCGCAATGTACTCTGATTCACACGTTGAATCAGCTACGGTCTCCTGCTTGGAACTTTTCCAAGTCACTGCTCCTCCATTTAGGGTAAAAACCCAGCCTGACTGCGATCGGTAACTATCCCGATCCGTCTGAAAACTAGCGTCACTATACCCTCGTACCCTTAAGTCATCACTCCCACCGATGACTAGGAACCATTCCTTGGTTCTTCGTAGGTACTTAAGAATATTCTTAACTGCGATCCAATGAGCTCTACCAGGATTCTCTTGATATCTACTGACCATGCTCAAAGCGAAGGCCACATCAGGGCGAGTACAAGTCATAGCGTACATGATAGTGCTCTACTACGGAAGCGTAAGGTACTCGGCTCATATCAGCTATCTCTGCCTCTGTACTCGGGCTTTGAGTCTTACTCAACTTGGTATTGCTTTGGATTGGCAACTCTCCTTTCTTGGAATTTTCCATACTAAAACGCTTTAGTACCTTATCCAAGTATGTATCTTGACTGAGTCCTATCAGTCTCTTTTCCCTGTTTCTTACTATCCTTATCCCCAGAATATAAGCAGCCTCTCCGAGGTCCTTAATAGCGAAACATTTCCCAAGCCAGGACTTGACCTCCTGCAAGGTTGGGACATCGTTTCCTATGAGTAGTA